CGAGCGCAAAACAGCTGCATTTTAAAACAAAATCTCTCACACAAATAAACACAAACGAACAAAACGATAAAATGAACTTACGATGTGGTTTGGTGCTCCTAGACGTTTAATCAAGCCTTTGGTAATGAGATTCCGATGCCTGGAGAAAATGTCAAAGTCTTGTAGATATCCGTACGAGAGAGAGGATGGCGTGATTGTCCCTCTGCGCTCTGACTGCACTTGCTCATATAGTGCTGAGAGTTACGCCTCCCGAGGCAGATCGGAAAAGTGAATCACTCAAGTTTCTGTCCAACAACAATGTGAATGGCGGACGTGCGACACATCGGATTTCCACTCCCATTTTAAATAGCAATCCACACAAAAAAATCTGTTGGAATAACAGAATAAGCTTTTGTGTTTTTGTTTTCACACGAGAGTTGTTTAGAAAAATCAAAGCAGCATATCCATGCGAAAGTTTCATTGAGGACTTGTAAAATCCTTACACAAGGCTGAATGTACACATATTAGCATTATTTATTACCTATTTAAATGAAGCATATACATATGAATGTTTGTTTGTACATATGTATATAGGCTACATGTATGTTTGCTCTATTTAATCTATAGTTTTTGTTGGGTGACATTTTGAATTAGCCATTAGGCTATATCGTTACTATAACAAAAAAACATTTTGCATTGCTAACATATTAAAATTCACTTTTTAGGCTAGGTTATTAGGCAGAAATTGACATTGTCATTTGAATGTACCAGTTAATGTTTTATTATAATGTTATTATCATTATTTACAGTGCTCAGCATAATTGAGTACACCCTATGTTTATTATTTATTCATTTTCTTTCTGCTTAGTGCCTTTATTAATCAGTGATCACCACCTATAGAGCATGTCTTTGGACTGTGGGGGAAAACGGAGCAACCGGAGGAAACCGACAATAACACATAGAGAACATGCAAACTCTATACAGAAATGCCAACTGATCCAGCAGATGCTCGAAAAAGCAACCTTCATGTTTTGTCTTGCTGTGAGGCGATAGCCACAGTGTAACCGCGCTACCAATATTTCTTCATGATGCTAGAAAAAGAGATTCAATGTATTGGGAATGTAAAGGGATTTCTAAGCAATTAAAACAGTTAATATATGCTCCTCCCTTGACATTTTTCCATAAAAAACGTTTGTATATATGCATTTCCTGTAGTAAAGGTGCATTTAATAACTCTTCTTAATAACTAAAATTGGACAAATATGTGCAATATATTTAAATGTAATTTGATAATTATGTGCCTTCTCTGTTTTATCTTTATTTATTTATTGTTTTTATTTTTCTCATTTAATCTTCATTTGTTAAGGAATGTGAAGTGATTTTGTTGTATATTAAAACCACATGCTGGTTCTTGTTAATAAAGCAAAAAAATAAAAAAATAAAAATTTAAATTCGCCGCCCACACCCCATTTTAAAAATTAATATTTGTATCCATTTCTCAGTGAATAGGCAATGTGTTTTGGTGCATTTAAACAAAACAGATTAATTAAACAGATATTTTTATTAAAATAATATTTTAGTTACCAAACAAATTGAAAGATCAAACAATTAATTCAAGCAAAATATTGCAAAAGAAATTACAACCTACAAAATGTTTAAGTTTTTTTGTTTTTTCTTTTCTTTTGATTTTTTCTCTTTTTAAAACTTGTATTTAAAATTTTTCGATAACATAAATCTGGGTACACTAGTTTTTGGACCATTATCGTAAGTTATTTTGTTAGATAAGCTCCAGATTTGGATTAAGTACTAAGTAATCTATATTGTACTGTATATGCACGAATAAAAATACAAATATGAATTTAAAAGATAGATTTGTGAGGAGTGTACTTCTATATGATGAGCACTGTAGCTAGTTTGTTAATGGATAATAATAAATTAAAATATTTAAATTATTATGATAATTGTTAGAATTACTTACACTCTATCAAATGGATTAATTGTTTATTTTAGTTCATGCTTCAAGGTAAAGTATTTTAGAAAATGTGGCTTGCAACATGTTGTAAGTTGTAACAGGTGAATTTTGTTTTGTTGTTACTTTTTTCCTGTCCCACAACTGTTTCATTCTTTTTGCATCCTCTTGGCAATTCCTCAAAGACTTCCAGGCAGCATGCTAAATTTATGCTCGAGGAAGCTCACCTGTTCCGAATCTTCAGCTGGCCTCTGTTTAGCTTTATATGTTCTGGCTAACAGCCAGTACCTAGGCTATTGTATGTGACTCAAGCAAAGCGGAAATTTAAATGAAACGTACTTAAGGATATCAATGCAATCTTGATGAGAGTTAAGCACTATAGAATGATGCATTTGATTGTAGAAGCATAAACACTAATAGTGCATTGATCCAACTGCAAAACATGATTTGGCTTCCTCTGGCAATGTGAGGATACTGATGGAAATGAGATAAGCCTTATGAATGCAACAGTAACCACAACATTACATGGAAAGTTTTAAGCCTTTACCACAATTATTTTTTGATTGTGTAATTTGGACAGAGATGGATCAGGGTGCTCATTCATGTAAACAAATTAAATTAGCCTGAACACCTGTCTGAACAATACACCCCAACAACCCACCTCTGAGATGGACAAATACACATTTAGCACATGCGCACGTACAACGAGTTTCTCTCATAACAGTTTCCACATTAAAGGCAATTCACAACAGACTAAACAATAGTTCAGTGGTCTCAGTCTGAAAAGACCATGCAGGGTTGAAACCATCAGGTCTTTTTGTGTGAAATATGCATAGAAATACAGAAGTTGAAAGACATTTGTTTTTAGTTAAGGGCGTAGTCTGGTAAACTGAGACCTGTTCTAAATTAAAGATTGTTAAAATGGTCTTTCCATCTTATTAAGTTTTCACTGCAGTCTTTTCTTTCAGTCTGGAAGGCAAGGAAAGCTTTTCACTAAATAACATTGGTTTTGGATTAAAATACTTGTGTGGGTGTCTATAAAAAATGTCAAATGTTTTTGACAGCCTCAATGTTGACAGTTTTATATACAAATTGCATTACAGAGTGGAGCCAATAAGAAAAAAGTCATATGCATAAATTTAAAACTAAAAGTAATCAAGAACAATTTTTGGTTTTCCAAAAGAAGTTTCACAATTAAAATGATGTGTATTTTGCAATGTAACTTACCAAATTGGTAACAAAAAATATTCATATTTTTATTTTTTAATCTTGTTGTTGGTGCAAACACATCAGAGTTTTATTATTTTAAAAACAAAAATGTTCCCCTATAAATTATAATATCAAATATGTACAAATTTAGTCAATGTTAAATTTTCTCCAAAGAGATGGGGAAATATTGGGGAGTGCGGGGCAACGCTGGGTAAAATGTAACACAGAGTTTTAAGGTACTTGCTCAGGGTTAACAATGGCATGCTTCAGAGGTTTTCACCCCAGTGTCGGCAGATGTCTTCCTGCCAGTTATTGAAAAAGTTCAGCAAAATTTGGATGAGAAACATAGGAAAAACCATTTTTGCAGCATAAAAGTATTTTTATTATAGTCAATATTTTTTTATTTAAAAAAAATCTGTGAAATATGTAAGTAAAATTTTAGATTGTTGTGATTACCATCTTCTAGGCTAAAAGATGGAACCATTTTGAATGATGTAAAACACACAGTGACCGCTAGCCAGTTTTGACGAAAACACGACACAGCGGGGTTAGTTGTAACAGGGTGTTACAATTAGGCCACACTGTGTTGGAGACCAATATGCCAAAATAATTGTTGAATTTTGAGAGTAATTTTGAGTAATTTTGAGTAATTTTGATATATATATATATATATATATATATATATATATATATATATATATATATATATATATATATATATATATATATATATATATATTTTTTTTTTTTTTTTTTTTTTTTTTTTTTTTTTTTATTGCTAATACTACAAATACATGCATTGCATAATAATGGATAATAATCCAAATAAATCCAACTGTGTTTATCCATAAATAAACATACTTTGCAATGTAGAATATATAAAAATTGAGCTTAGTACTTATATAGCTCCTATTAAAATATAGCTCCTATTTAAAGTAAACTGAACTTAAATTAATTGTGTGAAATTTGCATTTTTAAGCACGTGTTACAACTAACCCTCTGTCTGTTACAACTTGCCCCACAGGTGGGGTAAATAGTAACATTTATACTCCTGGCATTTTTGGCAATACTTCATACAACCAGGGCTCCTCATTTGTAGGAGAGGCTTGTGTGCTGTTGGTCATAAACAAATGGTTTGTCTAACCAAATACTTGTTCATTATTTGGCCAAAACTCAAAACCATGCAAACAGTGTTACTTTGTGCCACGCTCTCCATTTCCCCAAAAAGTAACTCTTGTCTTTTTTGTGTGTGTATTTTTGTTTTAAAAACCATTATCTACGGTCCCACCATCCACGGGACCACCAAGAAGGTGGGAGACAAGGACAAACGATGCATCCATTGAAAAATAAATTTCACACTGCACTTTCCACAGTTTGCGTTTACATACCTGCCCACATGGTCCTCTGACTAGTGAAGTCAAACAATGTCGCAGAGAACAGATAAAGGCGAAGAATATACCCAGCTTCCAAAGTGACAGCAATTATTTCAAAACATGCTGCGTCAGAAAGGCTCTTCCAAATTGCTTTGTTATCAAGTGAGCGAATTGCATTCATACATTGAATGAGCTGAGCTACGCAAGCGTGGCGTTGGGTTGTGTTGTTTTGCCCAGCGGGATGCCAAACAAGAGCTTGTTAGTAACAGAGGCTTGACATGCTCACGGCTTATCGGATAAGATAAGAAATGAAACCATGAAAATGAACGACTAGAGCTCTTATTAAGCGTTAGAATCGCATTAAGTGTTGTGGTTGATAGAGTATTGTATTCCGTTTTAACTAGTTGCCTTCTTTCAGAAGCAGTGAAGAGGCTTTGATCTCGTTGCCATGGCAGCTGTCAGAAGCGCAGGGAGTAAACCAGCGGCTTGCTGCTGCCTGGCTGGTGCGAGACTTGTCCAACTCTAGTTATAAATGCTTAACTTATGACAGCTAATCAGGACTTTCTGCTTGGATGCCTTACTACGCTTCGTTTAACCATTTTAGTTTCGAACGCTGTGACTTTCTGTTGTGTTTATCCCTTTGATATTTAAATACAGCACTTTCTAAACTAAACTCTGAGGCGCGTAAAATCAGTAAGGATGTCGCAGAGGTGAGTAAAAACTGTCCTTTAACCGTGTGCACGACATGGGAATGTTAATGTGATGATGCCACAACCACGATAATGTGTATAATAACCGTGTAATGTCTTTGTGAGGAAACTATTTATACATCAGCTCCTCTGTGTTCAGAAAAGTCTGTATAATTTTAGCAGGACATGTTAAAATTTTTAGAAAAGGGAAGGTGGAAAACATGTTTTTTTTCTTTCTTTCTTTTAAAAGTCGTGTATGGGGGAAAAACGCCCACTAGGAAAAAGTTCACATTGTTTTACAGTTCCTATGACAACATACTACCAAGAACCAGTATTTCTGCACTCGAATAAGAGCTAAATAAATCTGCTTTGGTGTAGGAGGTGGCCATTTTCAGTCACTGAAATTACACCACTACACTCTTTAAAATAAAAGCTCTTTATTGGTTGGGGGTTGTTATAAGAAGAGCCTTTAATATCTTTGGACGTTTTCATTCAACAGAAGATTCTTTATCTTGGAGAAAGGGTTCATTAGATCATTAAAATGTTGGTCATTCTTTACAAAAAAGGTTTTGTTCACTTTTCTTGGCTACCCAATTAACCTTCAGCTGAGGATTACATGGGGGTTTTCAGCCAAAACAAAATGCTGTTAATTTAACTGCCTTAATTCAAGATGTCGAACTTTTCTTCAGCAGAACATTATGGTTGTATAGTTGAAAATACTTGGTGGTTTATAACATGAAGGTCAAGAGGTACTCCAAAACAAATGTTATAATGTAATAATTACATGTAATATGTAATGATTATGTAATATTTAATAATTACAGGCAAATTAATAATTACAGACAAAACAAATACCAGTGTCTCCTGACAATACATCAGCATTTTATGAATTGACACTATGGTCATGCAGGCTCTTCATAAATATGCTCTTCAGTTTAGACTATTAAAATGTTATTCACTTTATGAAAAAAAATGCTTGTTTACTGAAAGGCTCTCTAAAAAAATGGTTATTCTGTGGCATCACTGCGAAAATACCATTTCACAACTTTTATTTTAAAAGTTTTGATAAGACTAGGTGTCTTTGGAATGTACACTATACTGTAAACCCTAATGATTTGATTTTTTAAAATGATTTGAGGAAAGTGATTTCCTCAGTTCATTTGGGTAATGGGAAATCTACAACTCAATTAACTGAGTTGACCAAAACAGTCTCTACATTGAATTAACCTAACTCTGTTTAAGTATAGATAACTTAAAATTGCAAATAGACTAAACTTCAGCTTTTATATACTTTACTTACTTACTCCCAGGGCCGTTTATATCAAAGTTGATATTTAGCCGCACCATAGTGGTGTTTTGTAACATCTCCTTTTTACAAGGTGGGTTGTTAGCCCAACGCTGAACCCTCAACCTGGAGGACCAGGACATACACACATATACTATACGAACAGTTTAGCGTACCCAATTCACCTACATCACGGTCCTTTGGGGGAAATTGGACCACCTGGAGGAAACCCAGGCAAATACAGATATGCCAACTGCAACACTCGAACCAGTGATCTTCTTGCTATGATGCGACAGTGCTATCCCACTGCGCCATTATGTCACCCCTGCATGTATATTAATTAAGAAAAATATATAAAAGCATTTCAATGTTTACTTACTGATGTAACTTTTCTTTTTAGTCGGATGGGTTCAAGTAGTGCCTCTGTCCTGCTGTGCTTCAGCAAAATTCAGCATCACAAGCAAAATGACCATCTTGTGTCATATAACATATATCCACCAATCAGCGCAGTTAAGGCAGAATTTCAAGCACAACCAATCATTTTAAACAGAGACATGGTGAATCGTTTAAAGAAATTAAGACGTTGAGTTCAGAGAATTTTTTTGCTGCCTAATGAGAAAGTTAAACATACCAGTTTAAGTAATTTCAAGTTATATTTACTTAATATCTTTGTAATAACAACAGCTGGGTTTGCAGAGTACAACACACACATCATCTTTATCTTTTATTAAAAAAACAGCTTTGGGACATATGTAAAGTATATTTTAATAATCTAAGTATTCAAGCTATCAATGCCACTAAAGAACTTTTTTTTTTTTTTTACTTTAGTACAGAGCACAGTTTTCTAAATGGAGAGCTTTTCATTTTTTGCAGCGCCACTCTTTTTTTTTAAGTTTATGAGCTTAATATCTACATAATAGTTCAGATACTACCAGAGAAAAGATTTTAGAGCCTGTCATAACTAAAAAGATAATATTCATCTTATGAAAAAGTTCGTCAAAAATCTGGATGAGAAACACAGCAGAAACCATTTCATTTCAATCAAATTGTTTTTCAGAATATTTTTTGCCTATTTTAATGCTTGGTTTTGTATTTAAATCATCTTAAGGCCTCCTTGAACGTTTGTTAGGGCCCCCTAGTGGACCTCAGACCTCTGGTTGAAGAAAAATTTATTTAGTAGAACTGTACTTGTTGACGGAACTCCGTAAAAATCCTTAAATTGCATTTTCCTCATCCATTTTCATGGAACATCCGTTAGTTACTCCAGGTTTCCAATGAATTGCAGCACTTCTGCTTTTGTTATCTGCCATATTTCAGATATCTCTAAGAGGCGCCTTTCTATTTTATTGTAAATGCTGTTTTACAACCAGCCTCCTAACCTCCTCCCACAGCTCCTCCCCGCCCCCCTCCCACTCTAACTATCCTGTCCCCTCCTTTGATTTTGCCATCCCTATAATTTGAGTAGCTCTTGGCAGTGCTAATGCCCAGAGGGGAACAATACTGTATGGGCCCATCAGAATAAGAAAAGAAGGTGGTTTCACCCTCGCCATGAACTCTTTCAACAGTCACAAAAGGAGCACCCACACGCAAAGAAGTCAAAGAGGTCAGAGGACATCTGTGGAATTCATGTGTATTCAACTTTAGAAAACGAAGAATGGAGAAATAATGTTTGTCAGGGGATTTCTTCCTTTATGTGGCTTAATATGCTGACTTACGGTGAATTCAATGTGCATTCTGCGGTTTCCCACATTCAGTGTGAGCGGTCAGACGTTGGCGGTACTAATTTTGGCCTGAGGGTCCAAAAACTGAGGGTCGGGAAAATTTTCCCAGAGGGCAGTTGCTCTCAACAGGTGTAATTAGGCCTGTTAGCAAGTACTACTGCCTGTCTCTTTTGATTGTATTTCAAAGATGGATTGAAATGGAGGGACATTAAAGTTTTCAATATGGAAAATCTTGTATGAATTGCAAGATACAGACCTAAATAGAACAGTAAAATAATCTGCTTTTCGCAACAACAACAAAAAAACACAACTGAAAATAATTTCTAAATTAGCACTCTATAAAACTTAAATAGGAAAATTTATACAATTATTTTTTGAGTGAAGAAAAGTGAAGACATTTGTTATTTAAACCAGTTGTCATGTATTGAAAATATCTTCTAAATGACCATATTAGTGTTTGAAATTTGAAAGACTCTTACATTTTCCAGACCTTAAAGGGTTAGTTCACCCAAAATTAAAAAATAGCCCATAATTTAATCTCCCTTAATGCAGGTGTATATGCATTTATTTTATTTTATTTTTTTATCTCCTTGCTATCTTAAACCCCATTGGCAACAGATGGGTGTTTTTATTCAACATCATAAAAACTGCCAAAAAAGCACACTCATCCATAGTAAAACGTGCCTCACATGGCTCAGAGTTGTGAATACATGGCACTAGACATGGGACGATAACTATTTTCAAGGTATACCGCCGCGGTTTGGAAAAATTATGTTTTAAAACCCCCAAAATGTTTTGTTAAACCAGCCAGATCTCACAAGGAAAAGTAAGTATTTTATTTTTTGTCAGTTTAGTGGCTAATTCAGTCGTACGAAAATGTACGATTTTAAAAAGGAGGCGTGGCACCCAACCCCACCCCTAACCCCAACTAATAAGCAAATTGTACTAAATTGTACGAATTAGATTGTACAAATTCATACGAATTAGCCACTAAATCAAAAAGTTACGAATTGCCGTGAGATTGCGTTGGTTATGTTCCTGCTGTATATGTAAGATTATTATCATTATTTTTTTATGGCAATAGTACCTCTAGAAAAGATTTTCAAAGGCGTCGTTTTAAAATGTAAAGAAATCTGTATTTTTGAAACTATATTGAAGACAGCATGATAGCTATGTTTCCATCCAGAAATACAAATGACGTTTTTGCGCAAAACCCACATAAAAGACGTGCTAATAAAGCAGCGTTTTCATCCAATGAGACAAAGAGAACAAAATCGTCACTTCTTGATTAACTAGTGCCAACTATCAAAAATAAAAACGGAATTTAGGGGAAGCTGCGTGAATCTTCTTTCATTTAATAAACGACTTGCACTTTAAAAGACAAATGCCATAACACATGGTGGAGTTTGAAGGTGTGAGACACGGAGCGCAGTCGCTCTTGACAGTTCTGGAGGTAATTAATAATATAATAACATAACAGTAATACTGAAATGGTTACAGCATTTTAGAATGTAAAACAACGTTTCCGATGTTTTACAATATGGTCATCCTGCTGGTTTGTCCATTTACGCACATTTTCATGATCACATGATCTCTTAAAACAAAATCACATGAAAATTTTAATGGCATACTGGAATTTGTTTGGTAAAAGTGTTTCCATTGGAGTTTATTCGCATCTTTTCTTATCGAATAAAAAGTTTATCCTACTCAGTTATGCGCATATGTTTTTTATGGGCATTTTCAAAATTTATTCGCATTTTGGCATTTCCGTCAACTGATCTTTCATGCTCATATACAAAATGCCCATAAAAAATAGGTGGATGAAAAACATAGCTAATGACTCATTTGAATTGTTTAGCCTAACATGTTTACTGTTCCAAATTGTTTTAAATGTTTCTCAAAATAAAATATATTGTGTTCAAAGTCACAAAGATTATAGACATTTAAAAAGATTATATTTTAGAGCAATAATCACAATACCGTGAAACCGTGATAATTTTATCCAAGGTTATCATACTGTCAGAACCATATACTGGTCCATGCCTACATGCCACCTATAAATATTTGATATATCTATATTTAAATATCCATATAAAATTTTTATAAATAGTTTAGTGTAATTGCTAACTGTCACATATGTGCATTTATAAGAGACTGCCTTTTGGGCAGATATCAACACAACAGTTATTGTCACATTATTTATTTTGTATAACTGTATAGGTATATTTGTATGTAAAATATGTATGCATAGATATATGTTTTTATATTTAAAGTCTACATATGTGGATTGTTTGTTATTGACCTATTGTCATTTTCTGCAAATAAATACTCATAACGTAATATTTATTTAAAACTTGAAGACTAAAATATTATCACATAAATATACATTAATCTAATTTCTTTCCCCAGTTCATATGGCCGAATGTTGGATGCTGCTCAGGGAGCTTTGGAAGACCTTTTGGAGGATGAATATCCCACATTGGAGCTCCGTCCTCAAAAGGACCGCCTGCAGGTGTTTCAAACACTGGCCACTTTCTTCCTACGCTACATGAAGATTTTCCGTGCCCTGGAGGAAGTTTACGATCAGATTGTTCACCCCCAGAAGAGACGTGTCGTGCACCAGGTTCTTGACGGAGTGATGGGACGATTGGTAGAGCTGAAGAATGAGATGGTGGAGCTGGAGCACTCTGAATTTCACTACTTTGATGACCTATTGCAAGACTTTAAAATGACACCTGTGAGTGAGATAAGAAAATGTACTGTTTTGTGCTGGGAATTTTTAGGTCTGACGTGCTTTTAAATTCACAAGAGTGAGCCTAAAGGAAATGTTGGAGATTTTGGGCTTGGGGAAGATTTAAGTGCTCAATGTCAAAGTGGATTTTAGCAAGCTAAGACTGAATTTAGAGAATGCTAATTGGGGTCACTAGTGCACTACCACTTTTACTCTTTTCTACTCTTTTCTGTTCTGCTCTTTTAATTTTTTCATCTTGCTTTTTAGGAGGATCTTGAGGTGCCTATTCCACGTTATTTTGTGAGAGAAAAGATGAGGGCGTTGAAGGAGAGGGAGAAGATGCTGGCCCATGTTTTGGCTAAAGAAGGACGTCCAGAACACAAATCTGTGAATGTATGTTCATAAAAAACCATAGTGGTCAATTAACTCAAATCAAACATTAGAGAAAAGCAAATCCCCTAACAAAAGTCCAGTAAAAATAGTAAGTACTTTTTTACAATTTCAGAGTGAATGTACAAATTCACTTTTATGTACTTACACAAGCATTGTAAGTAAATTAAAAGTAAAAAGTAAACTTATGCAAATAAATAAAAATAAACCCAATAAGTCCACAACTTAAGCAACTGTACAGGTCAGGTGTCCAAAGTCGCTTTGGGAAAGTTTACCCCAACTCTAATTAAACAGGTCTGTGACAGCTAATTAAATTCTAATGCTATGGTCACACTATAGTTTAAGCATTCAAAATTTTGTCCTACAGTGCTGCGAAAAGGGGCGGGATTAAAGAAGCTCATTAGACATAAAAAAGCGAATGATTTCTGTCCAAAATTTCTTAACTTTGCAATGCAATGAACTGCTAAATATGCCGCACTAGCTTGCGTTTCTGGTCTGTGGCATTCGGTTTTATACAAGGTTAAACTAAACATCCCTATTAATTTAGAATTATAAAGAACCTTAAAGCCATAGTTCACCCAATACTAACAATTCTGTCTTCATTTAATTGCCCTTCACATGTTCCACTTACTCAACAATACTTATTTCAACAATCATGGTTACACCAGTCATAGACAATTTTATGATGACATTGTCAATACTATTAAATAATTAGTATTTTTATTGTTAATTTTAAAATGTAACTATGGCTTGTAGTCATACACCACTTGCACAAATGGATGTTTTTTTTTATGAGGAAACTCTCAGGGGAAAAAAAACCTTGTAGCTGTGTATTTGAAAATGTAGAAGTACTTAAATGTGTGCTACAAAATGTGTTGCTGGATACAATGCATTTGAATGAATTACTCATTAAACATGGTTTGGAACATTTTCATGTGAACACTTTACATGAAGCTCATGTGATACTTCCGGATTTTCCCTAAGAAAGAGTGAATTGTTTTCAAAACTCCATTTTGGAACCTTTATATTTGAGTGTGTCCTTAAATTAGAATGATTTCCATGTTTGGGTGAACTGATCTTTTAACTAGAGACTTGATCTGACTTAATTTGATTCAGTGAGTCATTTATTTGAGAACAAATGCAATAAGATCAGTCAAATTCACAAATAAACTTTTCAGGGGTGCATTTCCCAAAACCATTGTTAGCCAACTGTATTTGTAGGTTCTGTTGTTACAAACATAGTTGATTGGTACAGATTTTGCCGAATCCATTGTTCCAATGAACATTTGCAAACATCTTGCATGGCTGTAGTTAGAAGCATAGTTCCTGGCTGTTTTCTATTTTGAGTTGTCCCCTTAAGCCATATTCCTTTCAAAACTTAAATATTAAAGTTGTCTTGCTAACATTTTATATAATTTGCTCTGAAAGTTGTTTTTATTGCACTTTGGTTTAGTAATTTGTAGAGTGACGATTGTGGTCCATTCTTAGCGCACTCTGAAAACATTTATGACATTTTGAGTAGAGCTATGGCTCGTAAGGTCATAAAAAATAACTTTTTTGATTTATATTACAAGCAAAGTATGTGCATATATTCATAGTTTTGATTTATTTTTTAAAAAGTAGGCCTATGTAAAGTATATGCAAGGTCTTTCAAATAAAAATACATCAACCAAATGTACTTTAAGACAACACATAAATTAAAATGTTATATTGTTACAGTTTTATATATTTATTATAAGTTATTGTCCACATCTTTCTAAAACATATATATTCACTCATTATACATGCATGCAATTTGAGTCAAATAACAGATGTACCAAGTGAAATCTAAGTTCAGGTGTGTGTTTGTATTTTCTGGTTGAGCAGAGGCCTGTTCTGTCCATGTCCATGGAGAGGGCTGTGTGGCTGCTACAGGTCAGTGAGCGAGCACGGCAGGGAAGACTGAGAGCTCACTTCATGAAGACAATTCGGCTAGAGGAACAAAGAAGACATCTGGGTTCTAGCATGCTGGACCCTGACCAAGCAGCCACCTGCATTCAAAAGGTATCCTGCATTGCTTTATTTTCAATAGTCCAGTGAAATCACTGATGCATTGCTTTCATGGGTTTGAAAATGGCAAAACAAATTAATCTTCTTCGATGCTTTTATTACAAATTACAATGATGAGAGAAATTTAAAGGATTTGTCTTTCAAGCCTTGTTTTGTTCCAAAACTGTATGCATTTCTATCTTCTCTCATACACACAATCATCATTCATTCATTCATTTTCTTGTCGGCTTAGTCCCTTTATTAATCTGGGATCGCCACAGCGGAATGAACCGCCAACTTATCCAGCACGTTTTTACGCAGCATAGAACAATGAATATATGTATACACAGTGTTGGGTAAGTTACTTAAAAAAAATAATAGATTACAAATGACTGATTACTACTGGAAAATTGTAATCTTATTACATTACTAATTACTTCATGTAAAAAGGAATCAGATTACTATTATCTTTACTTTGAAGTTATTTTTAAAATATAAAATACGCCTATAAAAATACAAAATAAACTGCAGCTATTTCAGTAAGTTTTTACTCACTGAAAAACATTACAGTTGATCACAGCAGCTTGACATTTTCAAAAGACTTAAAAAGTTCGAGTTTAGGTGTTCTATGTTTGTATGAGGTAATTAGTCGGCCTAAATGTGAATTTTGCTGATCGGACAGTTCTTGTCACATGACTCACGGTTTTCATCTGGGTGTGCCTTGCAAATGTGAGCGTAAGTATTATGTACTCCTAATGTGCACGCATGAAAAAGATGCAAAAGACGAGTTATGTGAAGGGCCCCATAATAAGCTATGTTTCTCTTCACATTCAGAATGTACCTTCACTACCGATCCTGCACAAAAATTCACTTAAAGCTGCAGTCACATTAAAGTTTGAGCATGCGATATACTGTCGTACGGCGCTGCAAAAAGGGCCGAGATTAAATAAGCTTAATAGACATTTAAAATAGTGAGCAATTGCTCCATGTTTTAAATTTCTGTCCAGAGAGGCCATGTTTTGATCCTCGATTGGTCTCACGCAGTCAAGTGACGCGAATTCGCAGATCAGAGTTCACCAAGCTTGAACTTTGCACCGCAGCAATTTGTGAAACTTAACGCATGCCCTGCGTTTCCGGTCTGACGCTTTCGCGTGCGTATGAATAGAAGTCTATGGGAGGAAAAGCCCAGTGTGACCACAGCTTTAGCCTGTATAAGCTGAGTTGGGCCGCCGTTTTTTGGGCGCCTTGGTCCTCTTTGGTTGCTGGTCAAGTTAAAAGCAGTCAAAAGTTCTTTAGAGAATTGACATAGACTGCATTTCACAGAAATATTTTTGTTTTTACACTTAATGTAATTAAAGTAATGTCTGTATATCCACTTGAAGAAGCAGCCACTCTCGACAGCAACCAGCTCACGTTCTCAAGCAATTTAAAAGCGCATGCTCTTTAACTGACGTTGCAGCAGAAAATGTGATTTAAAAGCATTTTTTTTATTCGAAAAACTATAATTTTAACATAAGTAATGCAATTACATTGACTTAACTGTAATCAAATTACACAAACTTTAAATGTAATATGTTACATTACTGCGTTACTCAAAGATATAATTAGAATACAGTAACGCGTTACCATTAAACACATTACACCCAACTCTGTGAATATATATATTCCTTATAGTACAAAAATAATTTTGTTGGTTTTAACAGATATTTTTAAATGCTTTCAAAGCTATATGATTATGCATAGTAAACATTTCAAATGTAATTCTTTGATCACTATGAAGTCTAAAAGGATTCATTTTAAAGCCTAATTAATGAGACTACATCAAATGTACACAAATCAGAAGCACCAAAACGAAACTAAATGATATGACAAAAAGTCATGGCAAGATTTATTTTTAAATCTTATGTTGCTTATTGTAATAAGTTAATAGTAATTTAACAGTTTTTTAAAGATACACAAAGATTAAAAAATTATTTTAGTTTTTTTTTTATTGATGACTATAAAAGTTCATTTAGGTGTCATACTGAGGCTGGAGCAGGGGCAATAATAATACACAGCGCCTGCAAATCACCTAATGTCTGTCAATGTATGCACCTGCTTGCACAAGGAACATGCCTTTTAACCATGGAGACATTTGTGAGAGATGATACAGAATATATTTACTTGGTACCATATCAAGTTGAGCTGGAATACATGAAAGCTAGTTTTCATGCACTTCGTAATATCAATATCAAAAAGTCTTTGTTTATTATGCCAGAATGGCAGTGTATGGCAAATGTGGCAATGACAACTTTATTAAATGAAATAAATGTAATAAACTTAAAATTTACTAAAAGTTAATACCACTCATTTGAAAAGAGTTTTGAACTCAGTGTTGGAGATAATGAGTTAATTAAATACCTCATTACTTCAACTTAAATGGAGTAAGTTTACAAACTCAAATGGTTTGTAGCGGTAATCGGTTTTCTTAAACGATCTGAGTTGCCTTAACTTTACAGTACTTAGTTGGTTTAAGTTCCCCTTCGGGGGGAACTCCAGCACTATAAGTGGATTTGATTGTAAAATCCACGCATTGGGAGGTTCGGTTCAGAAGCTACTCGTCTGAAAGAGTATTGAACGGGCCAATTAAGAATGAATTGGCAGCGCAAGCCTGCGCAGGTGAGCGGCATAAGCAATCAACTGAGTATATAAGCTCACCTGGCGCCAGCAGACGCTATCCTTTCCTTTTCGCTTCAGAGCCTTTTCTGATCGAGCTTATGAGGGTTCCTCCTGCTGATCTACAGCCATTCGAGAGAACGATTTTCATCCCGGTCCAGAGCGAGTCCACGCAGCGGCAGACGGTCGAGCTGGGTATCTCCCTTGCCTGGCGTCCCTTTGGGTCCGGTCCTCCAAGAGCGGTGCGTATTGTTGCAAATCCTAAAAGAGCAACACAGTCGTGCAGCACGTCCTTTTCAGGATGGCGCTCCGACTGTGCGTTTCTGGTTGCGGGGGTTTCCTGGCTCTGGATGATGGACACGATCACTGCATTACATGTTTGGGGGTCCAGCATGTTAATGTGGTGCTCGGGGGCGGTTCATGTCGTCACTGCGATGCCATGACCGTTGCGCAGTTGAGATCGCGGTTAGCTTTCGTAAGAGAGCGAGCCACCCCAGTTGCCTCCTGTTCTGCAGCGGGCGCTCGGGCAGATCTGAGGGCTTCAGCGAAAGACAATCCGCCGCCCACGGGCTCGCGGACCTCTCGCTCCTCCAAGCGCTCCATCCAAGCTTCGGGTACTGAGAGTGATCCGTCTAATCAGATGGTAGCTCTCACGCTCGCTGACACCGGAGATCAGATGTCCTCCGCGGCATCGGAGGGCGGGCTTTCATTGTCCGACGATGATCCGGACCCGCTCGCCCCCTCTGGGCAAGCGAGCGCCGTCAAAACGGATCCTGAAGCGGACATGTTGGCCGTGCTTTCTCGGGCTGCTTCGGCCGTCGGGTTGGAGATGGTTTATCCCCCAGCCCCGCGGCCGGACCGACTAGATGGGTGTTACGTAGAGGATCAGAAGGCGAAGCCTTCGAAGCCTCTCGTCCCCTTCTTCCCGGAAGTGCACAGTAGGCTTACGCAGTCCTGGAGGGCACCTTTCTCTGCCCGCGCTGCGTCCGCCTCCGCCCTCACCACCCTGGATGGTGGAGCTGCCAGGGGGTATGAGGCGATCCCGCAGGTGGAGCGCGCCATTGCGGTCAATCTTTGTCCGCGTGGCGCCCCCGCTTTGCGTGGTCCGCCCCGTCTCCCGTCCAAAGCCTGTAAGTTTTCTGCCTCCCTCGGAGCTAGAGCTTACAAGGCTGCGGGCCAGGCAGCTTCCGCCTTGCATGCGATGGCCACCTACCAGCGCTACCAAGCGCAGGCGCTGGCTGAGCTGCACGAGGGTGGGTCTAACCCAGGCTTGTTACACGAGCTGCGTACGGCGACCGACTATGCTCTCCGGACCACTAAGTCCGCCGCCTGCGCACTGGGGAGGACGATGTCCACACTTGTGGTCCAGGAACGCCACCTCTGGCTAAACCTGGCAGATATGCGCGATGTCGACAAAGTTCGCTTTCTTGACGCGCCCATATCCCAGGCTGGCCTGTTCGGCGACACCGTCGGTGAATTCACCCAGGAGTTCAAGGCGGTGAGCGAGCAGTCGGATGCGATGGGCAGAGTCATCTATCGGCGGGGCCGTAAGCCCGCTCCATCCCCGGCCGAGCCATCCACCTCCGCTGTTCCTCGCCGAGGGCGCCCGCCAACGGCCGATGCCCCGCCCCCGCCTCCGGCGAAGCGAGCGCGTCGAGCACGCCGAAAGCCGCTAGCCCCTCCTGCCCAGGGCGCCGCTAAGTCCGGTAAACGGACCGCGAAGCGTCCCTGAGACAGGCCATCCGGAGAAGAGGAGACTTGCTCTTTCCCCGCTGGAGGGCGGGGCCCAAAATCCAACGGTACTTTTCAGTGCCACCAAAGTTTCGATCAAAGAGCATTTTCTCCCTTCCCCGGATGTGACAGCTCAAGCCCCGCCAGTCTGGGACGCGCTGCCTCTCAGCTCGCAGGGCTTGCATGCTCCGCCAGCGGCTCTCGGGCGCTGGGGGGACGGTCTCCCTTCTCCCAGCCCCCAAGCCCCCTCTCAGGAGTCAGGGTGCGGAGCCAGAGCGAAACGCTCTCCTCCAGCTCTTCTGTGGGACCCTCGCGCTCCCCGGATCAGCACACCCGCTCCTTGCTGCCCCTCCGCGGGTACGTCAACGATTGCTGCGATGACGTCATTAGCGAGGGCTCTGCCTGCTTGGTTAGCGCGGGCCAGCCCCTCACGGTGGCTCATACGCACGATCAGACTCGGCTACGAACTACAGTTCTCCAAACGGCCTCCCAGGTTTACGGGCGTGTATTTCACCAGGGTCAATCCCCTGTCCGCCCCTGTCTTGCGAGAGGAGATTGCTGCCCTCCTGGCGAAGGGTGCAATCGAGCCGGTGCCTCCAGCCGAGATGGAGAGCGGGTTTTACAGCCCG